ATTAGGATTACGACCGAAAATATCGCTAACGCCAAAGGTACCCAACTGATGAAAAAGTGCATTATAATCCTTAAGTAATAGTGGAAGAATGGTACATTAAATTAGCGATATTCATCACCGGGGCAATGATGAGTTTTGATCTGCGTAGGTAGCTTGCTTTGATCAAAAATTAATATAACTGACGAAATATAAAGTTTGGTTTGTTTTGAATTTCGCGTAAAGCTCCCCGAGGCTGTCTGCGCTAGCCATTCCTAATTTAGCAGTAACAGACTATAGGGAAGACAGCCAACCGCCAACTCTTGTGCTACTCTTGCCAACAAATAGTGGGATTGACCATCACATTATAACGCCTCCACTGCTGAAAGGGCGAATATGTTCGGTGACAAAGTATAAAATATTGGGGAAAATAACTCTAGATTAATTATTTTATTAGTTTGGTCATATGTGTAATGTTATTAGAACCTAAAAAATTCCGTGGATTACAAAGAATATTTAAATAAGCTTACTTGAACTAAGAAAAATAAAAAATAAATAATATAAATAGTGCCGAATCTGTAAGTACACCACTGGCCTCTTAAATTTCATCCTTTGAACTAAAACGTTTCTTAAATGTTACCATGAAACCTTAAAGTTTTATCTAATGTTTTTAGGTAGAATCGTATTTGGTTTTAAATTAAAATGTTCTTGCCATGGGGGGGGGGGGAACAGCTTCCAATTACAGCCTCAATATATTTATTAAAACATACGTCATTCATAAAATATTTACCCATGATCCTTGCAGAAGAAGCATAATCCAATAAGTGAACTAAGAGAAGTGTTTGTTTAATTTAAATGGAAATTATGAAAGATTTAGTTATATCAATGACCCTCGAGACTGTACGATTAAATTAGCTATTACTTCTAAAGTAAAGCAGTCCAGTTAGTGTTCTTGTATACGTTGTATTCAGATGTATATTACAGTTTTCCTGCTCCTTCATTACCCTTTCCTGTCATTTTGTTTTTATATAAGTAAGTATAATATTATAAGATATATCACGAAAACAATAAATCTATTAATTAAAACCTATACAGTGTTTACCCTCGTGAATGAGAATTAATGTCAAATTCGTTTTATTGCTTTTAACTTAAGTAAAGGATAATTCAGATATTATTGTAAGCGGTGCAAACCTGACAAATAACTTTTGGTTTGAATAAAATTGGGCCTAATATTTAAATCCGCAGTGTGTTGACAAACCACAGCCCCCCTCATCAGTTGTGAGAACTCAATATACATCAAAAACCAAGAGTTGGTTTTTATTATTCTTAAGTTTGTTTAACGCAGACTGGAGTTCACTAAGAGACATTTCTATTAAGGTAAATAAAATCAAGATCAATATCTCCAGAATGTATCTTTATTTACTCAATATCTCGCTTTTACAGTTTCGTCAGGAGCTATCGATATCTTGCAAGTTCATTAATCCAGATATTATTTTAATACGATCTGAACGTTCTAAACATGTGTATCGATGTTGGATTTACTGATGACGGTGTTCCAGTTTAGATTCAATTGGATTAATAAACACAATCAATAATTTTCAATAACTTAGTTAGGTTTGCTATGACTGGGAATAGACAAAAGTGATACATTCTGAACTTTACGAACTATAGAGCCTTTCAGCTGGAAGACTATGAAGATAGATATTTATCTAAATTTGGGACTCAAGGCTATATTTTTCTTTAGCATAAAATTAGGCAGTGCAATTCTGATACTTTTGAAGCTTTAACTAATGTTTCACATGTTCTTTAATTAATTTTTCTTGATTTGTTTTGAATTTCGCGCAAAGCTACACGGGGGGGGGGGGGCTATCTGCACTAGCCGTCCCTAATTTAGCAGTGTAAGACTAGAGGGAAGGCAGCTAGTCATCACCACCCACCACCAACTCTTGGGCTACTCTTTTACCAATGAATAGTGGGCTTGGCCGTCACATTATAACGCCCCTACAGCTGAAAGGGCGAATATGTTAGGTGGAAAAGGGATTCGAACCCGCGACCCTCAGATTGCGAAACAAGCGCTCTAACCATCTGGCCATGTTTGGACACCATTTTTCTACAAGTGATGTGAAAGATTTTGAAAGAAGAAATGTTAAACCGTATGAATGTTCTACCTTTAAATTGTTCTCGTCACTTTCTTTCGAAATCAATAAATTTCCAAGAGCCCCATTTCCCGTTTTTTTTGTCATTTTGAATTCGCTTAGTGTTAGTGCAGTAATAATGTCAAAGAAAAGCTCCTCCACTCCACACAGTGGCTCACATCGCTAAAAACCGGTTTAGATACTCGTGGTGGGCACAGCACAGAAAACCCATTGTGTAGCTATGCGTTTAACAACAAAATCACAAAGAAAAACTGGTAAACCATCAATTTAAAAACATGCATAAATTTTTGTCATTTATATTTTTTCACGCATTTATAAGTTTTTCAACTTTGTTTGAATAATTTATAATTAATAGCACACGCACGCACACCAAAATTAAACCCATCTAATACTTACATTTTACTAGCAATAACAGTTTTCAAGATTCATATAACAAAGTTAAATCTCTGCCACAGATAAGAATCATGTGATAATAGTTACAATAGAGATATTATGATCACAATCAATAATTTAAATACGTCCATACGTTATCTTCAGATTTACTCAAAAGATATTCATCAAATTTTATATATCTTTAGTATTCGCTTCAATAAAAACATATGTATTGTTATGGTATATAAGGTGTCAAGTAGGCCAACCATGATCTGTTAATCGGTACTTAGTGTTACGTTGCATTATAATGTTTGAGAATTTCTCGTGTTAACTTAATTGATAACTTAACCAATATTTTATCTATTTTTCTGAACGTAATTGAAGGGCTTGTTGACGAACATCTAGAATTTCCAAATAACTAACTCAATGATCTATAAGTAGTGTTATCGCACAACAACCTCGAGAGTTTCGGTATAAATAAAATGTTCACAACAGTATAAATAAAGAAGTTCTGATTTCTAATTAGTTGTCTTTGTGCGAGTTCTTTATTGCGCACGTAAATGTCCTCCAGTTGGTGGCTTGTGTTACGTATTGAGAATTTGAAATTGTCCGAAGCAGAGTTAAATAATTTAAATTTAACAGTTAAATCGTGTTCTGGATCTAGTATCCAGATATATGCCGATATTTTAGTTAATTTACGATATTTCCCAACAGGATTGATACACACCATTTTCGTTTTTAACACAAATATGTTTAATATATATATACAATTTACAACAACAATTATTACGAATTGTTACTACAAAAGTTTTATAAACAAATATTTCACTAACTTACAAACAATATGCAAATCTTCCTTCTAGATTGGAATTTCATTGATATCTAGCGAGATAACTTCAAGTCGATGTACGTATGATTGCCGGGAAGCTAGCTAGCTAGCTTTGTTTTATTGGTCACCACAATGAATTGTTGATCCGTTGAAGTAAGATAATGTTTTCATAAAACTACTAATGTCCGATGTGAATCCAGTAATATTTTCGGAAAAATACTAACGTTCGATAAGAATCCACTGATATTCAAAATTTATAACTGTTCCTGGTCATATGTCTTATTTTTTTCGATTGATTAATGTTATAAAAAGCTTGAGTTTTTAGCACACTGTTTATAGCGGACGACTAATAGGCTCTCCTTTTGGCGCGTCGCGTTGACTGTTTTTATAGGCACGGGAAAGGTGTTCTCGAAAATTCAGACAACAACACTGAGCTAAGTTTAACCGGTTACGGAAGTGGATATATTGTCGATTCTTGCATTCACGAATCTTCCACAACTTTGGAGAATTGGCGGGAATTTCGCAATACGTATCTAACACGGTAAGCTAGGCACATTTTTGAATATAAACTCAATCCAAATAAACGTTGACATTAAAATAAATATATAACAAATTCGTTACACGAAATACGTATCTAACACTATAAGCTACGCATATTTTTAAATACAAACTTAATCTAAACGACGTTCATATTAAAATAAATACATAACAAATTCGTTACACTTGTGTTTGTTTGTTTGTAATTAGGTACAAAGCTACACAATGGGATATCTGTGCTCTGCCCACCACGAGTATCGAAACCTGGGTATCGCATCATAAGGACACTGAGAACAACTTTTACAAATCTGCCTAAAGAAACAATATCATTTCGCGCACACACTTTGTGCGCTGCACGCCACTGCCGATGAGGCCTTTCCTTCAAAACCAGGGCTCATCAGTTCAATTCGGAATGCGACACAAAAAATCTCGGTCCAAACGCAGTTTAAATCAATTATTTTAAACATATATCAATTATTAGGGTATATAACGCATCAGGAAGACAAAGGACGATCGGTAGTTTTTGTGACGTTGCATAGCAAGATTGATAATATTTTTCTGTAAATCTTTCTTCACTGGCCCCATAACTCCGGTTTCCAATAAGAAGAAACATAATAGCATTTCGAGCGCACACCAGAATGGTCGCAAGTCGCTGCGATAATAGAGGGCCAGAAAAGAAAGACCCGAATAAAGTTATTATCAGTTTTATTGTCACACAAACTACCGAAATATATACGTAACTTGCTAGAAGCTTAAGTGACATTGACCAAAGAAGCAATACAAGTATACAAGATTAAGGAAGGGGATTGAAGTCCTTTTCTGGGTTCATGTATATGTAGTACCTGTAACATGATTATTTCTCCCGAAACCATAAACATAGATGGAAAATATAGAGTGAGTGGCAATTGGCAAGACAGTTTATGAAACATATATTTTTATAACGCAGACATCGAAAGTGTTTTGAGTGTTTACTTTTCAGATTTGTTTTCCGTGAATGTAACAGAACGTTAAAGCTGTAGCATGCTTTACTTTCCTTGAGTGTAAGAGGACACTAAAACTGTAGGAGTTTTATGTGCAACGCGTTTTAACATAGGATAATATTTTACATTTGAATGTAACAAGAACAACAGCGAAAGGAGGAAGTAAAACTATACAATTTTATGGTTCAATTAACATACTCGCTGAACGAAATAACCGATTTAATTCAGGTTTCACTCGCTCAAGATAATTTTTCTTTGAATACAGAGATGGGAGTAATATAATAAATTAATTGTAATAATAATAATAGGAAGCTGTTTGGAAGTCGCAGTCTGATCGTGCATTGTTAATGTATTAAGTATTATGCTCGAAATTACCTGGATTTTGGGTTATGATGTTTTTTGACATACTGTCGAAGAAGCATGGGGTGGTCTAGTGGTTGGTGTATCAAGAATGTAAATACAATAATTCATGGTTCGCGACCCTTTGCACTTGAAGAAGCAGGTGCACTATAAGATTGACAGACAAATCTCACTGACAGCTGAGATAAGGGTAGCTCAAGAGTTGGCGTTGGGTGACGTTCACTAGCTGCCTTCTCTCTAGTCTACCAGTTCAAAATAATCGATGACTAACACAGATAGCCCTTTTGTAGCTTTGCACAAAAATCTTCAACAAACCGAAACAACTCACGAAGATATTGGGTGATAAACTCAACGCATTATTCTTTTCACACAGAGAACTAATGCTTGTATATGGCATTTGGGGGCTTAAATGCTGCACTCTGTTATTTGAAACGAAGGTAGTTCTGGATTCACACAGTTGGCTTAACAATTGAACCTGTGGATAACATTTAATAAAACAGTTCAACTTCTTTTTCACTTTAAGCTAATGTAAACCTGAACGATAACGTAACATTAACAATTTTTAAAGCACTTATAATAAAGAAAAATACTTTAGAATGGTTGGAAAGTGTAACTGGTATTACACCAACAACCTTGTTAACTAGATTACGGAGAAAACAGTTCTTAAACGTGAAATTCACAATACTGTTTTCATTTTGAAATTACACAAGCTTTTCTTTAATGGAGTGAAAATGAAACTATGATAATTAAAAACAGTTACAAAAAAAAAAAGGTTTTAGTGATAATCAATGACTGGTGTTTCGATGTATGGGGTACGGTCCGCCTCCGGCAGTTGAATGAGAGTGTGCTGTATACAGTGTACGGCTCAAAAAAATTGCGCGCGCATTTTAAAGCAGCCGCAGTCAAAGTGTTAAAACTTTTGTCTTTCGTTTTTGCTAAAGTATCCACACACACAAAACAAGAGTAGACTTGATATTGTGAAATTTATTTTAAGTTCTTTACAAGCTGTATCACGCGTTCGAATTTGCCAAAAACAACCTACATATCTATAGTAAAGTAATGGCTTAAGAAAGCCTGAATAATCTCATATCATTGATTTTTTTCCATAATAGTAACTTAAGATGTCGGCGCTAAGTCGAGCTAGCGTTTAGTTCACCATCCATACATTTTACCACTGAACACAAAATGCGATTTTTTTAAGAATGATCTTGGGTACCTTGAATAACAATAACATACTCTGTTGCATAAGGTAATTCTGTACATCCAGACTAAAGAAAGCCTTCTCAAAGTGAAACCTAAACTAAATCAGATGAAATTTTAATGTAATATCCAGGTTAGAGAAAGCTTTCTCATGAAGAAAATGAAACTTAAACTAAATTAGTTGAAATTCAAATACAATATCCGAGTTAGTCTTAACCCTCTCGTCAAGAAAGTGAAACCTAAATTAGACCAACTTAAATTCGAATGTAACATCCGGATTCTCATCAAGAAAATGAAACTTAAACTAAATTAGTTTAAATTCAAATGTAACATCCGGGTTATATTCTTAACCCTCTTACCAAAAATGTGAAACAATCGAAACCATATTAAATTCGAATATAACATCTAGATGAGAGAAAGCCTTCTCACCAGAACTAAACCAACTGGCTAACTCTGCAAAGTTGTTATTTGAACTATAAATGATTTAAATGTAACCACACAAATGTCAATAACTTACATCATTTGGTATGTATGTCTAATATATATATGTATACACACACACACTAGACTTTGCCAACGTATCATAAAAGAGGCGTAAACAGTTATTTTTTTATACATCAAACTAATTTGACGATCTTAGTCGTAAAATTACTGACATTTGACTTTGTTTCTGAAACAAATAAAATGGTGAAAAATAAATTAAAGTTTTAAAGCGGTCTTAATAAGAGAACTGAAAGCTTTCTGTTAATACTGTTTT